TTTATTCAGTAGAGGTTAAAGATACTTTTTTGATTTCTTTTCTTAACGAATTTTTTCTTTTCTTCTTAGTCTTGAGTTTTTGCAAGTTTACAAGCTTTTCGGATTAGGAAAACGAGGGAACACGAAAATAATGTCTTAAAAAGTGGTCTAAAAGATTGAGAGACATTTCTGTAGACACCTTAGTAGAACTAGCATAACAAATTTTTGAAAAGTAAGATGAAACCTCAACATCTTGAAGCAATTCTATTGTCATCTTGCTGCAGTCAATATTTTTACTCAAAATTTTTGTAAAATTTCTGAATGCTACTTCTGCTATTCTAAATATTGAAAAAACATCAGATGATATAAACCAAAGACCAACTCTATTTTTATTTAAAGACAAATAAGATAAAAGAAATTTTAGAATTTTTTCATATGATCAAAAGATAAAAGAACTAAAGAACACGCAAAAGTGAAATCTGAAAAGCTCATTACAAATTCAATAAAATGCTTGAATTCAGCAAACCATAAAAAGACTTTTACCTAAATTAGTGATCTTTTTACGAGATCCATCATTACCTTAGTTATGTACAGTTAAGCTAAATAAGTGACTATATTGCTCTGCAACATGTTAAATAGTTTTATAAAATGACTCAACATTGTTTGTAAATATAAAGTATATTCCCATTCCGACAACTTGCAGTGCAATCCGCTGTTCAATCAATGTTTATTTGTGAAGGTGGTGCAAGTATAGAAGTTAAATTTTACTTAGCTTTACTATAAAAAACACTTTTTTTAGGTCACACAACATTACAAAAAACGACAAATTGGAGCTAAAATTAAATAAAAGCATTTACGCAGTTGGCAAGAAAATAGCTAGCATGTAGTTTTACAACATACTTTGAGTAAAAGCTTGAGGCTTAATCAACAAAAACGTATTAAACAAAAAAGTCAATTAAAACGTTAGTAACTATAAAAAAAAGTAAACAAAACAATAGTTAAATTATTTTACTTCTGATAATATTAATACGCTAATTTAATATTATTATTATTATTAGTCGAATTACATCATTTTCTAGGCTTTTCTATTTTAAAGTATTTTCTTGGCTTTTCTATACGCGGTTTTTTTTTAATTTTATTTACTAACAACGCGTATTACGGGTTGCTTACTGCTAGTTTTAAATAATATCAAAGTTAATATCTATTTCGAAAACCACAAAACACGTTACCATAGCGCTAGCGCAAAACAGACAAATAAAAATACGGCACAGATTTTGGCGTTTCACAGTGGTCCAGGACCATGCAATAAATACAAAAAAATTATCTATTTTACATTAAAAAAATGCCGTTTATAGAAAAATTTTGAAAATATTTTGGCTGCTTTTATTTGCTTATTATCATAAAGGCTCACTCCAAACATCTCAGTACCTAAAGTGAAATGCGACTCCCCTCTCGATCAGATGTTTTTTAAATAGTTTAAACCGTAATAATGAATAGCTGAATATTCTGGTATAAAAGCGGACAAACCGAAACTTAAACGAAATATTCAAATAAACAAAATTAAATAAACAAAATAATCAGAAAAAATTATTATTTTATTAGATAGTTTGGATCAACTAAACCGATCCCCCTCTCCCTGCTCATTCTTTTCTAAGCTGGGTGTTCTGCACATGTATGATATTTATTCAATTAAATAAAAATGTATCATACGTACTTGTGAATATTTATACTTAACAGAAATTTAAAAACTTTCAATTTGAGCAGCCGTGGCGCAGTGGTAGCCCACTCGCCTCAGAAACAAAGGTCCTCTGTTCAAATCCCACCTCTGGGCAAGTTTTGCGACATCAGTTAGAAAGGAAGCTTGAACTTGCATTTAAATGCTCATCCGCTTTGCTTTGTGACAGGACCGAAAGGACTTCTTGGGGCAACTAAAAAAATAAAAAACATGAAATACGTATCACATATTTCTTATTCCTTATTTTATTTGTCCTTGGATTCGTATTATTGGCGTGTCCTTCAGAGGTATGAAAATCGACATAACAATAATAGTTATTGTTGGTCAAGATATGATAAAAATTCACAAAAAACTTTAGCATTTCAGCTTCAAAATTGGAAAACAGATAGTTTTTGCCTCAAAATGCGCGATAGTTTTTGCCTCAAAATTGCGCGACATCTCAGAATCTTTTAAAAAATCTCATTTCACATGAATAAAGATATATATATATAACTATATATATTTATATATATATATGTACATATATATAAATATATATATATATATATATATATATATATATATATATATATATATATATATATATATATATGTACATATATATATAAATATATATAGTTATATATATATATCTATATACATACATACATATATATATATATATATATATATATATATATATATATATATATATATATATATATATATATATATATATATATATATATATATATATATATATATATATATTTTTGTCATGGTATGAAGCCAACACTCTCTGATTGCTTGGAGGGGACATTTGAGCTTGAAAGTGATCTCACTTCTGCTAAAGCATGGGGCTCACAGTTGCTGGTGAACTTTAATTCAGATATAACCCAAATTTTTTCAGCCATTTGTTATCGCAATAAATTAGATCTTCCCATATTTATGAACTGTAATGCACTCGATGACTCATATACCCTTAATTTTATAGGGTTCACTCTATATAACAAGTTCATTGAAATATGGCATCCTTAGCATCCGCTAAGGTTGCATGTCTTTATTGAGCTCGACACTTTCTTACTCCAGATTCTTATCTTTCTCTATAAATCTAAAATCCGGCCTAATATGGAATACTGTTGCCATATCTTGGGGAAGGGGGAGGGCGGGATCTTTGAATGATTTTTTTTCTTTTGCTCTTGTAACCAACTTCCAACCATTATCGCATCATTGTAATGTTGCTTCTCTTTTTTTTTCCTACAAATACTATAATGGACACTGCTTTAAAGAGCTAGCGTCTCTTGTACCATCTACTGAAATTCATTCTCGTGTTATTCGTCATTCAATTAGGTCTCATCCTTTATCTGTGACTGTTCCTAAGTGCTCCAAAAACTCTTATTCGTTTAGTTTTTTTCCTCAAACATCAGTTCTTTAGAATTTGCTTCCTTCTTCTTGCTTTCCTGATTCATCGCAATCTTTTAAGTCGTCTGTCAATCTTGATCTTGCTTTACAATTTTCATCTTTTCTCTTCCAGTAACTTTCAACTCTAATAGTGGTTGCTTGTAGGCTTGTTGGAAGCTAAGATGTTAAAAAAATTGTAGGAAAAAGATATCTTTTAACTTTTAGATAACTTGTGATACCTTTTTGCTAGTCATAATAACTGTGATATACATTCTTAAAACACTTTCCGTATCAAGAAAAAACATCATTTTTAATTAGTAAAAAAATTAATATAAAAATCGAAAGAAATTTGTCAAAATTTGTGTTCAAACCTTTTATTTAGTAAGGAAATGACAAAATTATTTTTTTAACATTAAACGATATCTTTCAAAATGTAATACAAATAGTATTTAATATGATTTTTACTTTTGCTTTATCAACAAATATTGATATACAAATACGGACAGGCCTCCTTTCTAAAATCTACATCAACGTTTTTTAATAGGAAAAAAAACTACACTTAAAAAAACTTTATTCTACTTAAAAAAATATTCTATTTTAAAAATATTCAATGTAAATATAAAATTTTAAAAAATTAGTAAAACTATTAAAACGCAAAGCGCTAAAAACTTAAAACAAATATAAAAATAGTTTTAAATACTCAGAAAATGATAAAAAATTCCCATTGGATTCTGATCATGTAATCAAAATAGAACACCCTTACTACTACCAAATACAACGTCAAACGTTAATATGTTATTTACCTTATTTATATGGTCCCATAATGACTTTTACTCCCATTGCTTTTCAAAGAATAAATCATTTTGAAAAGACACGCTTATGAAGTTAAGTAATGTGTTTACTTTAAAGATTTTACATGAATCATTAACTAGGAGTTGTTTGCCAAGTTCATAATATTCAAGCAAAGTCTATTGTTTACGTCAAAAAGCATAATTTGGTCAAATGGTTCCATGTGGCAATATTGATTGCAAATATGAATGATTTCACTTTTCCTGTATTGAAATAAAAGAAATTCCTTCAAGAAAATGGTACTGTCCTCTCTATCTAAATACAGAAAAGAAAATGTAAGTTTAAGGCTTTTCTTGTGAAAGATTGTAAATTATAGTATGTCTCAATATATAACTTTCCCACATAAAGTATATATTTATATAATTTTGTTATGAAAGAAATAATCAAATACTATTTTTATATTTTAAATAGAAAATGATTCATAAATGTTTGATAATTGGTCAAGCAACAACACTTTTGTTTAAATTAACTATTTTACAAATTGGTATCATAATATCATTCAATAACTTGTGTTATAGGAATAACACTTGAAATTATTTTAAAACTCTTCAACCATGCGGTAGAAATGTTATTGCTCCAGCTGGAATAACACCAATCAGGTACTTAATAGTATTTAAACTTTTAAGATTTTTTAAGTTTGTAAAAAAATACTTTTGCTTCATTTTTAGATTATTCAAAACAAAATACTTGTTGATAAATAATAAAAAAAAAAGGTTTTAGAATTTTAATATTCATTATTACATTACATTCATATCTTTTTCATACATTTATTGGGTTAAGGTTTCAAGCGATATATCTTTGCGCTTTTTAAAAGTTATGGTGAATACTATTTGCTCTGACTCTAATAAAAAGGTAGCGTATCTATCTTATTATACTATTTCAATAACTTCGATGCGACTAGTATTTTTATCTGTTGCTTTAGATATGCGCTGACAGACAAGTTTAGCCTTCTATCATTATGCACCCAAATTTTTTTTGAATAAAACTAATGTCGCTTTGAACTATATAAAATGTTATTTTGGTAAACAATTTTCTTGAAGCAAATAGGAAAATAAGATTTTATATACACATTTAAATAAGTTAATATATTTACAATTTAAAAATTTTTATAAAAAAGTTTATTAACAAAATATTTTTTTATTTATCGCCATTGTTACAGAAACAACATTCATGTAGACTAACTACATGCAGTCACCATCTAATTTTGTTTTCTCTTTGATATGATTTTACCATTTCTGCAAGTTTTTGAATACCTTCATACAAACCATCCCCTGTTAAAGCGCACATTTCTTGAACATGCCATGGATTACCGCTTAATTCTCTTAACCGCATTTTATCAACTAATTCCCACGATTTTAACGCATTAGGAAGATCTTGTTTGTTTGCGAGAATCTAATACATGAATTATAATATATATAACTGTACAGTCTCAAAAAAAAAGTATATATAAGTTTAAAAAAAAAACGCTTACCACTGCAGGAATTCCATTACTGATGCCTTCATCTTTTAACACAGAAAATAACTCTTCGCGAGCTTCCTGAATTCTTAAAACATCACTTGCATCAACAACAAAAACTAGTCCTTCTGAACCCTGCAATAATTAAGTATTATATAAGTTTTTGTTTTTTATATTATAAGCTATCTAAGTGTTCTAAGAAGTCCTAACAGTCTTATCGTAAAGCACCGCGTAGTAGCATTAAGTCAGGAAGTTCACTAACCACTACACCACTGCTGTTATTAAGTCAGGAAGTTCACTAACAACTACACCACTGCTGTTATTAAGTCAGGAAGTTCACTAACAACTACACCACTGCTGTTATTAAGTCAGGAAGTTCACTAATAACTACACCACTGCTGTTATTAAGTCAGGAAGTTCACTAACAACTACACCACTGCTGTTATTAAGTCAGGAAGTTCACTAACCACTACACCACTGCTGTTATTAAGTCAGGAAGTTCACTAACCACTACACTACTGCTGTTATTAAGTCAGGAAGTTCACTAACCACTACACCACTGCTGTTATTAAGTCAGAAAGTTCACTAACCACTACACCACTGCTGTTATTATCTTATATTCTTATTGATGGTTAACAAACTTATAGACTGGAAACATCATAAAATCGAAAAGTTATCAATTATTTTTTTATCAATTAATCTATATTGAGCAATCCCTTTAAACAAAATTAGTTTATAATTTGTAATCTTACTTGATAATAGTGTCTCCATAAAGGTCGAATTTTTTCCTGACCTCCAACATCCCACATGGTAAAAGTAACGTTTTTTATTGGAGTCACCTCTTCCACATTAAACCCGATTGTAGGAATGGTTGTGACGTTTTCGTTGAGCTTTAACTTATAAAGTATTGTTGTTTTTCCAGCTGCATCTAAACCAAGTAAAAGAATGCGAGCTCTTCTATTACCAAAATCATTTAAAGCTGATGCTAACTTTGATAGCCATAAACCCATAGTTGCTTTTTAGTTGCTTTGCAATTTTAAGCTTTAGACAGGTTTCTTTGTATTCCATTATGATTTCAAGGTCTTTTATACATGGTGCACTTTAAAAAACTACGTAATGGCAACGTTGTTTTAAAAGACGTGTAAAATTTTGAAATTCATTGTATGACGATGTTGTTTATGACGTGTATTTAGGATGTAAAAAGATGTTTTAATATGAAATATTTTACGGGGGACATTTATATAGTTTTTGTTATACATTATTATTGTTTAGACTACTGAAATATTTGTTTTATTAAAGATTCAACATTCTTTGATTTTCTGACTCTATTTATATGAACATATTTTTTTTTTATAAAACAAACGCACCTTTATAATTTGTTTAAAGCATTTCTATCATCCTATAAAATTACTTATAGATGACGTAACCAAATTAAAACTTGCTGAGTTTATGCAAACGTGGCATATTTATTATAGCGTTACTAAATACATAAAATTCTAATCAATAAATTATTAACGTGCTTTCTGACCAAACTCAATGTTTTTTGATTATTTGAGTTATATTGGAAAACAGTATTTTTGTTAAACCGACTTTTCAAATATTTTGTTCAAAACTTACATATACTTGGACAAACAGTTTACAAATTGATTTCAGCTTTTTAAACATTATTTTAAAATATGTTTTATCTTAAATTACTATTTTCAAACATTGTTAAAATTTATTAAGCGTCTTGTGGAGTTTTGTTTGTCGGTAAGGTATTTTCTCGAAAATGGTTGCAAATATAAGAAACACGTAATGATTTTAAAATGTTAACTTAATTGATATATTTTCTAGTTGAAAACCTTATGCAATGCATTATAATAAATGATTTAGAGCACCTTAACACACAAAGTTTTTGGCAACTTTGGCAGCCTGTTTTAGAGCTTGTTGACGATTAATGATTTTTCGGTAATTGAAGTAACTTCAAATCTTTCGTACGTAGTGAAAAGCTCTATAACAGCTTGAGGAAACTTAACCTTAGGTTTTATTTCATTGGATTGGTTCAACGAAAATGAAATTTAAAAAGTTTATCAAAACATATAATAAATAAAAGCGGATATAAAAACTATGTGAATAAAAGCAAACTTTTCAAAAAAAGATCAATCGTGTGAAAAAAAGAGAGGTCCGTTAAGATGAGGATTTTAATCAAATAATCAATCAACTATTTGACTAGTTGTTTAAAGTAAATGGGTTTTAGCGACATGCAACAGTACATTTTCCTCGTAAAATAATTAAATGAACAATTTTGGACTAACAAGAGTAGGCCGTTCCATAGTTTGAAAAAGGAATGGGCTGATCAATGTTGGTATAAAAAATGCTGATATTAGCATTATTGTGATATGTAAGCGCAAATTTTAAAAGATCAAAGTGTGTTCAAAAATAA